CCTGTCCCCAGGAGCGATGTTCATGGCCCCGGCTCAGATCCCGTATCCCGCCGCCTATCCCAGTTTTCCGGGCGTGACCCCGTCGGGCAGCATGATGGGGGGTCTGCTGGCCCCCTCGGTGGGCATGGTGGCCCAGCCCGGGCCCGGGGGCATGGTGGCCCCCCTGGCCATCCCAGCTGGCTACGTGGGCAGCGTGCAGGCGGCCGTGCTGGGCGTCCCCAACGGCGTCATGGGCGCCCAGCAGGGCGGGTACGTGGCCGGGGTGGCGGCGGTGCCACCGCCCGTCTACGGGGTCCAGCCCACCCAGCAGCTGCAGTGGAACATTGCCCAGGTCAGGGGGCACTGCTGGGAACAGGGGGAGGGCAGGGAGGGAGCTGGGATGGGCCGGGTTGGTGTGGAGGGAGAGGGGGGGTCACACGGGGGTTTGTGCTTGGGGGAGAGCAAATATCTGTGGGACAACAGCTCAGCTTGTGGGGAGGGGAGTCCCAGGGTCACTGAGGTTGGAAAAGCCCTCCCAGCCCATGGAGTCCACTCTGTGCCCCAGCCCAGAGCACTGAGGGTCACATCCAGTTATTCCTTGGACACCTCCAGGGATGGGGAGTCCCAGGGTCACTGAGGTTGGAAAAGCCCTCCCAGCCCATGGATCCACCCTGTGCCCCATCCCCACCTTGTCCCCCAGCCCAGAGCACTGGGGATCACATCCAGTTATTCCTTGGACACCTCCAGGGATGGGGACTCCAAACCTCCCTGGGCAGCCCCTTCCAATGCTTAACAACCCTTCCAGGAAGAAATTCCTCCTTATGTCCAACCTAAAGCTTCCCTGACACATCCTAATCCCAATCCCATGTCCTCTCGTGCCTGGGAGCCCCAGAGCTGCTCACCTTAACTCTTCAGAAGATCTTCTGCTCGAGCCTGGAATGTGCTGTGGAGCCCGAGTTTGGGCTGGCAGCATCCAGGACACCTCCTGACCTCCCTCCTCTCCCCTCTCCCCTCTGCAGGTGACCCAGCAGATGGCTGGGATGAACTTCTATGGAGCCAACGGGATGATGGGCTATGGCCAGTCCATGGGAGGAGGGGGAGCCCAGGGCAGCAATCAGTCCCTCAGCTCCCCGATGTGGAAATGAGCCCTCGCGTTGTGACCATTTCTGCCTTCTGTTCTGTTCTTCAAACCTGCTCTCCATGAGACATTCAGGGTTTTTCCTTTTTGGGGCTGCCCAGCCCC